GTTAGGGGAACATCCCCACTTCAACCGTACATTCGGACTGGGGATTTTTGAAGGTTCTGAAAGAGAAAGGTTCAACTGCAGGTTGGCTAGGGCATGACGTGAAGCTCTTGCCTTTTGGCTCTGAAGATCAGACGGCCTACAGCGCATGTGGGCTTTCCCTGCAGTACCTGCAGGGCTTGACGAGATTACAGAGCTGATTCCCTGGGCCCCGAAGCTCCTTCAAAACCGAACCACGAAAGCAAGGTAGCTTAAGCTTGTGCACCTTTGTCCAAAACCCGAAATGAAGTTAACTCAAACCTATCTACACCTTGTTGCACTCCGCATGCCTGGTTGAAACTGTCACCTTCAGGAGTTTGCCATGGCGGAGTTTAGGACGTAGCACAGTTGGGGCTTTAATGTGACCCGTCGCCAGCCATGCGTATCCGACGCGCTCGAAAAGAGGGAGGCTTCTGAGTCTCGAGGTTCTCGTTGTACTTACTCTTGGTTAGTAGGGAACGGGGGAAAGAGGTACCCTATAACTATATAGTCCCTTAAAGGGTATATATAGGGCCCTAATGCCCAAAGCTCTGAACCGCATTGGGTGCTAGGAGGATTTGTTTGTGGTTCAACTCACACAGGGCCAGGCGAAGGATGGCTAGAAGAGGTACAGGGCTCAGAAAACAATGTCACGATGCACATGCAGGAACCATGACTTGTTAGTTTGTTACGGCTCGGAAGAGACGTTGGGCAAATTGAGGCGGGCTAGAGTTGGGGCTTGGAGGAAGCTGCTAAGTAACAGGGGTGTCGCTGCCTGTCGATAACAGAACCCCGTAGGGCTCAGGGTCGCACAAGCCTTGTAAGACCTTACCTGTAGGACTTCAACCCCCCCCCCCTCAACCCTACACCCCACACCCCTGCACCCCGGCACCCCTACACCCCTACACCCCTAAACCCCTACACCCCTAAACCCTTAAACCCCTAAACCCCTAAACCCCTAAACCCCCAAACCCTAAACCCCTAAACCCCTAACCCCTAAAACCCCTAAAAAACCCTAAAACCGAGTACTAAAACGGTGAAGGCGTCCAGAGTCTCATGCAGGCAATGCGAGATCCAGTGCAGACCAAGAAGGAGATGCCCGGAGCTCGGACACGTTGCGGGAACCCTCTGAGTGCAGGGTTTGGGTTTAGGGTTTAGGGTTTAGAGGGTTGGTATTCTCTTCTGGTCCCTATTTAACTATACTAGAACAACCCCCCAAAACCCTGTTCTAATTAGCAAGGCCCCTACATTCTCAAAATAGTATGCAAATGAAATATGCCGATAGGTTACTTGTTCACCATTGCAATAATGTATGATATATGATTCTTTAAAAAAGTAGATCGTATACAATGTATCATACCGTATTATATAATAGTATAGTAGGAGTGTATACCAATATATATATATATACATATGTATGTATATGTATATATATATATATATATGTGTGTGTGTCTGTTTTATTATGTATGTAGATGTTACCATTTCATTGTTATCATAGTCCACAGTATGTCATAGAATGCACGTTGAGTAGTTACATGCTTATGTACTTTACGTTGAAGTACACGGGGTATTTTTGTGTACCCTAAACCCTAAACCCTAAACCCTAAACCCTAAACCCTAAACCCTAAACCCTAAACCCTAAACCCTAAACCGTACGATTACATCTCCAAACCTTTGTGTCTGCATTGTGCCGAGGCTCCAGCACATGCACGATCTCGAGAGGAGCCTGCGAAAATCCTGAAACCCGCTCGAGAGGTCTGGAGTCGAAAGGAGTTGTGCGGTTTAGGGTTTAGGGTTTGGGGTTTAGGGTTTAGGGTTTAGGGTTTAGGGTTCAGGGTTCAGGGTTTAGGGTTTAGGGTTTCGGGTCTGGCTACGATTGGACAGCTTCAAGCTGCCTGAACCCTCAGCTGACAAACAAACCCAACACCCGAACAGTGCAGGACCATTGACTAGCTGTTGTGCAGCACTAAACCCTAAACCCTACACCCTACACCCTAACCCCTAAACGGCCCCAAACCCTAAACACGTAACCTTGCACCTCCCAGGACCGCGCGCGAAAAGAAAGCGGCGATGCTGGAGAAGCTGCAGAGCTCGCCTCGCAAGTGCGGCCCTCGGAGCAGTTTTACTTTTAGTTGTAGAGTAGGTAGCCTTTAACCTTGTTGGGGTAATATAGGTAGCCTTTAACCTTGTTGGGGTAATATAGGTAACCTTTAACCTTGTTGGGGTAATATAGGTAGCCTTTAACCTTGTTGGGGTAATATAGGTAACCTTGTTGGGGTAATATAGGTAGCCTTTAACCTTGTTGGGGTAATATAGGTAACCTTTAACCTTGTTGGGGTAATATAGGTAGCCTTTAACCTTGTTGGGGTAATATAGGTAACCTTTAACCTTGTTGGGGTAATACAGGTAACCTTTAACCTTGTTGGGGTAATGTAATCCCCTTAGAATCCCAAAGGTTAACCTTTGTTCCCCTAGGCACTGGACAGCTAGGTTTAGGGTTCAGGATTTCGGTTGCAGAAAGGGTTTATAGGGTTCAGGGCTCCGGGTTCAGGGTTTAGGGCTGTGTGCTTGTGGACTCAGAGTGTGTTCTTCGGTTTGCGGGTCTGCTGGTCTCTGATGACTAGTACGGCCTGCAGTCCTGGCATGAACCCCTAAACTTCCCTAAACCTTAAATCCTGAACCCTATAAGCCCTAAACCCTAAGCTTAAGAGGTCGGGTCACTGCACTCACCGAAACTGGGAAAGGTATTCATACTTGAAGCTTGAAACAGGATCTCGGCCCTAGAGTCTGGGTTACCCTGAACTTTGATGAAAGTCACGTGCGGGGCGGGGGTTTTAAAGTCCATCTGAAGCTTCATGGCGCTGAGTTCGGGGGTAGCTGGGATCATGCCGCAGGATACCCTGCGTGCATGGCCTGGGGCCTTTGACCCACTCGAAGCGACGCACCCTCCTCAACCTGCCAGTTGGGATGGGGCCTTTCAGGGCCCAAAAACTTCGGAACGATTTCTTGGCATCTGTGCTGTGGGGCTTTCAATGCCCGCTTCACATACACAATCACAAAGCCTTAAGGCTTCGAAACCCCGAAAGCCGAAGGCACTGAAGAAAAGCCCGTTACTTGCGGCCCAGGACGTTCTGGACAGCGGAGGAGCGTGAAGCCTTGGAGGCCGCGCACCATGGGCATTAGAGAGCGATGCTGAAGAAAAGCCAGACGTTTTGCCACACAAACCGGCGCCACTATGCGAATGTTGCTTCCGGCGTCTTAAGTGACACAGAGGGGTCCCGAATACCGAGGCAGGTGCTGACGCCCGGGCGCTTGTCCCAATGCCCCCCAAGAAAGAAAGAAGGAACGAAAGAGAGAGAGAGGGAGAGACAGAGAGACAAACAGACACAGACGGACAGAGAAAGAGATAAATGGATGGGCGGGGGTGCGCGCACCCACGCAGCCGCACACACGCACGAACGCACGCACGAACGCACGCACGCACGAACGCACGTACGCCCGCCCGCCCACCGGCCCGCGCGCGCGCGCGCACGCACGCACGCACGCAAGCAACACACTCACACGCGCAACGCACACACACACACACACACACTAACACAGACAGACACACACACACACACACACACACACACACACACACACACACACACACACACACACACACACACACACACACACCCGTGCGCGCGCACACGCACACGCACACGCACACGCACCAACACGCACAAACACACAACTCACACGCACGCACCCGCACACACACACACACACACAGAGATAGACAGAGACACATTGAGGCAGAGAGACATGGGCAGACTGGTATTTGTATACACACACTTTGATTTAATGACTTTGCCCGTGTCATCAGATTCCATCAGTGTATCTATCCCAACCCTTATAAACCCTAGCAGCCCTAAACCCTTAACCCTATAAACCCTATAAACCCTATAAACCCTATAAACCCTAAACCCTATAAACCCTAAACCCTAGCAGCCCTATGTGGCACCTTACTTCCAGGCGAAGAGCCAGCTCCGCTGAGCGCTGGCTGAAGCTTTTCACGCTGCCGCAGAAGGATTTGGGCTTAGGTTTAGATTCTGTGGAGATATGATTGGGGTTTAGGGTTTAGAGTTTAGAGTTTGGGGATGTTTAGGGTTTAGGGTTTAGGGTTTAGGGTTTGGGGATGTTTGGGGTTTAGGGGGATTTGGGTTTTTAGATTCTTGGCGTTGTGTTTAGGTTTGTGGGGTTGTTTTGTTCAAATGCCGGGGCTTGCGCAGCCTCTACTACAGCATTGCGGAGTTTCGAAGGGACTCTGCATCATCGCGGTTGTTAACGTGCTGGGGGCTCCATGTGAGCATGTCTGCGCAGCCTTAGAAAAGCGGCAGTGCTGAACTTTAAGGCCCTGAATCAGACAGTCCTACGTGAAGGCCTTTACATATTCACACACACACACACCAATACGAAGCTAGACTGCTACCTGCAGAGTTGTTGGAACTGAGACTGCCCATACGGAGGTATGCGCAAGTGCTACAGCATTAAGGCCGCCCAAGACCCGGAGCCCAGTATACAGCAGAGGTTGCGATTCAAGCGCTGAGGCCCTAAACCTGAGACCTGAACTACCCGAAGCCTCCCCTTCACCGACCTTTCCCAATTTCTGCCGCAGGAACCGTATTATCCCTGGTCATGAGGCCTTATAAGTTTGCCTTTCTGCAGCCGCGGGCTCCCAAAACGGGTGCTGGGCCATGTGGTTCGATGACCCAAAAATCTAATCGTTCCCAGCCTTTTCTATAGGCTTAAAACACATTTGAACCCCGCAGATTCAAGGTCTTCTCAAGCGTTGCTGTAGAGTCTGTAGAGTTCGCCAGAGGGGGCATGAGAGTCTGGACTGAGGCAGCTCAGGTCCTAAGACATGCCGCGAGCGAGGGAGGTTAGTATACGACATCAGCCCACCTCAACATCCTTACAGCCTTGGCCCAGCTTAGGGAATGCCGTGGCCAGCATGGCACCAGAGAGTTTCGCTACTCCTCATCCTGATACGGGATGCTTCTCGTCCGGTTCTTGAGACTTCCAGGTAGTAGTTGACTAGGCAACCTTTAACCTCGTGGGGTATATATATATATATATATTTATTTATTTATTTATTTATATTTATTTATTTGTAGTTATAATCCTACCATAATTGAAAGGTTTGTCTTGTTTGGCCCAGAGTACTCAGCAACTAGGCCTAAAATGGTACCTTATTGGGGTCCTTATTATAAGGGGATCCTACTAGTTGGGGATCTATCGCGAGTCCCCCCATTTTCGTAAACCCCTCAAATGCGATGGGATGGAAGGTCAGCACAAGCAAGAGCCATCCCCCAAGCTGCAAGCCCTTCATGCCCACTTCACTGCCCTGATGGCTCCTGAAGCCCAAAGTTCTGTTGAGGCATCACCTTTGTCAGCACACCCTAAACCCTAAACCCTAAACCCTAAACCCTAAACCCTAAACCCTAAACCTTCAAACCCAAACCCTAAGGTGCTGTCCTAGGTGCTCACGGTCTCAGCGCCCTAAGCCCCTAAGCCCCTAAGCACCAAACATCACCAAACCCGAAACTGTCTCAAGGCTGCAGGGGCGGCGAGGCAATGCCTACCAAATCCTGTTGAAGAGCGCTTCAGGAAGAATGCTTCCCGGCGCCACAGTTTTGGTTTAGGGTTCAGGGTTTGGGGTGTAGGCTGTAGGGTGTAGGGTGTAGGGTTTTTTAGGGTTTGGGGTATGGGCGAAACCCTGGACAATGCATGAAGGTTCGTGGGTTGTTACGCATTCGTCGGGCCATGTGTACCTCCTTTCGGGTCAGGAAAGCCAAAGCTGTAGCCCTTCAAGTGGGGATCCCCACTTGAGTTCTTCGAAGGCGTGGGCCCTGAATCTGCCTGGATAGCGGCTATGTAGCAGACGAGGAGAACCCTAAGGGCCCACGTACCCAACCCATGGTATATAGTCGGGCCCTAAAGCTACCTTTTGGAAACTCCTTTAAGGCCCAACTATATACTATAATGGGTACATGGACCCTCAGGGAAAGTAACCCTCGTTTTGTGCTTTGCATGGTTGCACTCACTCTACAAAGATCAGCCTGGTGTTTTCCACAAGCGGGACAAGTAGGGTTTAGGGTTTAGGTTTTAGGGTTTAGGGTTTAGGGTAGTAGGGCAAGATTCTTCTGGCTTGGAGCATGCAGAGGGTGAACCTGCGTCGAAACCACACCAGACAGAATGCCCTCCACAAACGGGAACCGAAAGCCTTCGAAACTACTCACCGTTGCTCACGCTTTTGATCGTGGACTGGCTGGGGCCAGAGAGTTTAGACCTCTTCTGACCAGGCCACACTGACAAGGAGTGCACGGCAAGCTTTCGGAAAGACATACCCGTAGGGCTCCAAGTATACAAATAATACCTACATTGGGGTCTAAAGTCTGCAAAATGATACCAACTTTGGGCTTTTTGGAGCCTTAGGGCCTTAGGGTATGCAGCCCCAAACTCCTTGGTGGCCCAGTGGTACCCTTTACCCTATTTGTTGGTCCTGGGTTCCGTTACAAAGTCGCCAACCAAAAGAAGGGTACCCTTATTATAAGATGGTTACTGAGCTACAAACCCTAAGGGTCCATGTACCATATTACGATATACCTGAGCCCAAGAATCTACATACAGGAGGTGCTCTAAGACTTTAAGGCCTAAGGTACCCTAAGACTTTAAGGCCTAAGTATTCCCTAAAAAAGGTACTCTAAGACTTTAAGGCCTGAGTTTTCCCTAAAAAAGGTACTCTAAGACTTTAAGGCCTGAGTTTTCCCTAAAAAAGGTACATGTACCCTGGGGGGGGGCCAGACTCTAAACCCTAAACCCGAAAAACCCTAAACCCCCAACCCTAAAACCCTGAACCCTAAACCCTAAAACCCTAGAACCCTAAACCCTAAAGCCCAGGTCACGGTGGATGGCATCTCCAGGCCTATCGGCATCTGGGTGAACGGCTGGGATTCCGCCGAGGCCGGGGACTGCTTCTAGACTCCCTAGACCCTAAACCCTAAACCCTAAACCCTACAACCCTAAACCCTACAACCCTAAACCCTAAACCCTAAACCCCCCCTTAGGCAAATTATTTTTTGTATTCATGTAAAACCCAAGGGGATATCAAACATAGTTTTTGAAAGGAAGGTTTCTCTAACAGAAGTATAGCTTGACCCAAAAGAGTTGGGACGGTTTGGCTGTTTGTGTTTATTGGGCCCCCCCTTTATACTAACAGTCCTTAATCGGGATTGTCATAAGGAGTACTATATAATCCCCACTAAGGCCTGTTAGTATTAAGGGGGAACATCCCAACAAAGACACTTCATGGGCTGTTTGCTGCGAGTGGAGCCAGGCTGCTCTTCAACCTCTATGATCATTCACCTGCGTGGATGCACAACATGGTCTACTATTTGCTTAAGAAACTCCAAGAAAATAGAAAGTGTTCTTCCTTATAAGTTATAAGGGTAGCATGGGGAATATGATCTTTTCTCTCATTTTTTTGTCGGGGAGGGGGGGGGGGAGGGGGGCGGGTTCTTGCGCAAATAGAGAAGATGTATAGGGTGGCTCTGGGGTCGTGGGCTGCTTGCAGGCTGGGATCGGCCTTCACCCAAAAACAACCTCAAATGCTCACACCCATCTCGGCCAGTGAAGATCTTCGTAGGAGGCCTTTCACTTTACTAGGTAGGCCACCTAAACCCTAAACCCTAAACCCTAACCCCTAAACAAAGCTTGAGTAGCAGCGGCAAGGTGGTCAGCGAGCTCTATGGCATTCTGGTCAGCGACGCTCGATGTCCAGGGCGCCTAGAGGGTGATGCGCCACTTATGGGGTCCTAGAGTGTGGGGTTTCGAGATCAGGGTTGTCGGGCAAACCTTTTCTTTCCATCCCCTATAAACCCTTCAAGCCCTATCATGTTGCACCCGGTTTAGTAGTTTGCCGGGCATCGCTGTCCCTTCCAATCTGAACCCCTCCCGATTAAAAATCATATAAACCCCGTGGACCGCAGCAACATGGCAAAACAGGCTGTCTTAAGGGGGGGGGGACACAGTCAACAGGATACAACATTGAACCCTATAAACCTTCAAACCCTAAACCAGACTTAGGCTTTTCGGTTTGGGGTTTACTTGAAGGTTCATGGGTAGTTATAGGTAGAGTGATAAGTACCCGAATGAAGCTCATAAGTCTAGCTAGCCTGCTTATAGCACAACTTGCAACTACCGAATGTTCGGCGTAACCCTAATCCCTAAACCCTAAACCCTTACCCTAAACCCTAAACCCTAAACCCTAAACCCTAAACCCTAAACCCTAAACCCTAAACCCTAAACCCTAAACCCTAAACCCTAAACCCTAAACCCTAAACCCTAAACCCTAAACCCTAGCAGCCTCAGGATGCAAGTGCTGGAGCGATGGGCATCACACACCCTGGAACCTCTCTTCAGACCCGGAGTAGCCCCTTTATTCCCTTTTGGTCAGGGTTTAGGTTCCCTTATAAGCGCCTTAACAACCAAAAAGGGCACACTGTTGATTCCTGAGGTTACTCTTGGGTCTATAGTCTCTTCAGACCTCAACCCGCAACCCGACCCTCCCCTCTCCAAGCCTCAGGAGCTGATGGGATACAACGTAGAGCTCAGCGAGGGCAGCAATGGCCGAACGCAGGCTCCTATTCCTTCACGCCTTCTCAGATTTCATGTGGACTCTGAAACCCCATTCTAAGCCCGGTTGCCTAAACCCTAAACCCTAAACCCTAGACACTCTTCAGGCTTCAGGCTTGTCGGAAAAGAAGGGACGTTCGAGGTTTCGCTGTTCAGGATTGGGTCTCGTCATGAGCTTCATGCAGGGCTTTGGGGCGTCGTGGCGCGTGCGCGCGCGCGCGCGCGCGACTTTGAGCCGCTGCCTGAAGGCGAAGATGTTTGCAAGATGTAACATTGTCCTTTCCTCCTTCAACCCCTAAACCCTAAGCCCTAAACCCTAAACCCTCCCGAAGCCACAAAAATGAGCTGACGGAGACCCTGGAGGTTCGACTCCATCCCCAGTATAGTCTACTATTTGCTTAAGAACCCCCGAAAATGAAAAATATTATTCCTTGTAAGGGCAACATAGGGATTGTTATTTGATCTTTTTTGGGGGGTTCTTAAGCAAATAGTAGTAATGTAGGGTAACAATAATAATTACTAGCAGTATTCCCTTACGGTCCCTTTTGTATACTATAAGAACCCCCAAAAAAACAATTCTATTCTAATTATTTAGGCCCTTATGCAGTACTTGCAAAGCTGCAAAGTTCACGAAGCGAGGTGCAGCGTCTCGCCGGCTGTTATGGCGTCATGTCCGCAAGATTCTTTGATGGTTATATGGCAAATTAACTATGCGTTGTAGGACGGGTTTAGGGTTTCGGGTTTAGGGGTTTAGGGTGTGTGTGTGTGGGCTTGGGGTTAGGGGCTGGAAGCCCTTTGAGGCTGCAGCCTTGTGCAACGGAGGCTCTTGGCTTTCGGGGCGTGTTTAGGCTGGTGTTGCTGCCACACGCGTTCGGCTGCGTCCACACGGGGCTGCAGCCATCCATGCTGAGTCGTCGTCTTCTTTGGGGGTCCTTGTCATGATGGTCATGGTTTAGGGTTTAGGGCTCTTTTCAATCTCTTCAACTTTGAAGATACCTCCCACTCAGAGCCACCATTAAGCCCACTTTCCAAGCAGCGGCAGCTCTGGTGCAGAGTCTGGCAGCATCGTGCTTGTTATGTCACAAAGCTATCCTGGCAAAATAGCATTGTCAGTTCGGTTCAACCCAAACTTTCGAGCTTAGCTAGCACACTGTAACAACATCCTTGAAGATGGCAGAGTTCTGGAACATTGTTGTAGGGTTGATCCTGCCATAATGCCCCCTACCCCCGCCCTCGGATGTGTTCCCCGCCTTCGAGCGGCAATCGCAATAGCGGTTTGTTTGGGTGGGTGTTGAACGGGGGGGGGAGGGGAGTTGCTAGTCAGGGCCTGGCACTTTGACAGAGTTGAACTCCCGGGCCTCCCTTACACACGAAACCAACTGCGCAGCCGGAAACACCCTGAACCCTAAATCCTAAACCCTAAACCCTACATCCTAAACCCTAAACCCTAAACACCCTGCCAGGTGCTCCAGAGGATGGCTGCGGGCCTCCCAGGAAGTATCACATAGGGCTGGAGAGTTGGCGCCTCGGTGGCACAGGGGTTTTGGTTGACATGGGGTTTAGGGTTTCGGGTTCCCCGTTTCACTAGCAGACCTTAATAGGGGGTTATAGTACCCCCTATTGTAGTCAATAATTAAGGACTCTTAGTACAAGGGTGTTATAAAGGGCTCTGGAATGTTCGAGTCTGCAGACGTGGGCCCATAGGCATCCCATAGGCACTTGGGGCCACCCAGCCCGACCTGAACTTTGAAGCCTTCCGAAACCCATTACGCCCTCCAGAACCTCGAGCCCAGACCTTCTGGAAGGTCAATGCCCAACGCGTAAAGCTTTCAAATTCCCAGAGAAGGGAGCACAGCTATCCCATCAGCTTCTCTGGCGTCCCCTGTCCCCGCATTGTTGAACGACTCCAAATTTGGACCTCTGCCCTCTTTCGCACCAAGGTTCTAAGTTAATCCAACATGCAAGAAAAAGGTTGAGGGACGTACAGAGGGTCTAGGATGTGGGGTGTACGGTTCCGGGACATAGGCGTTAAACACCGAAACCACAAGCTTCAGGCCCTTGACTTGCAAGCGCCCACGACTCATCAGGGTTTTAGCTTGTGGGGCTTTGCAGGGGTTCAGATCTTGCTACACGCGGTTGCATGCAATCTTTGTGGCCAAGAGAATGCCATGACGGCGCCTCTTGGCTTAAGCTGCTTCGTGTCAAGCTTCTACGGCCCTGAGACACCGAGGTTTGCGCAAACCGCATACGGGCAGGAATACCTGAAGGAACTGCGGGAGAACGCGCCAACGATCGTCAACACCCTTCCCTACGTGCCCTGGGCGCAAGAAGTTGGGGGCTGAGGGGGCTCACCTTGAGAAGCCCAAGTCAGGGTTCTTTGAAGTGACTGTCGCCTCCCGGTTGGAGGGCGTTATATCTGTATATCCACATAAACATATATGTATATATATATATATATTATACATATAGTTTGCCTTAAAGAGCTCACCTTGTACTTAGTAGCTGAGTGAGTACACTTTACACTTTTTGGGATCCTATAGCCCCTTTAACACTGAAAGTGTACACTTTTTGGGGGCTTTTGAACTCAGCAACGAAGTGTATACAATCCCAGAGCCCTCAACTGGCAGTAGCCTGCCGACGCAGAAACCTAGAAAGGGTTTGTGACCACAACAGATAGAACAAAGGAAAGCTTTGGGGGGTGCATTTCTGGAAGACGTCTCTCCTTGACGTGAGATTGGCAACAGCGGCATGTTCATCCTGGACAGTCCTCGACGCCAAGCTCTGGAAGCAGAGGGCATGGCATTGGACCGCCATCGGGGAAGTGAGGTTGTGGTTTTGGAAGGGGGCATGCGCGGCTTCTTTCCTTACAAGAGACTTTTGAAGCTCAGGTTTCTGCTACAAGAGGCCTTTGAAGCTGAGATGGGTTCAGGGCATCCCAACCTAAAACCGTCACCCATCCATGGCGGACACACAAACCTGATGGCTCGTCGATCCTGAGCGATCCAGTCAGCAGCCGCGGCAGGAGTACTACCGCTTCTACGATGCAGATTGGTGCCCTTCAAGAATTCCTTGTGCAAGGGAAAAACTGTCCGTGGCATGTGTTGAACCAGCATGCTTCATGCCTCGTGTCAGAGCATGTGAACGCTCCTGACCTGTGTCTTGCTCTTTTGTCAGAACAAATGAAATGTTTCTGCCCAGGCTTCTTGTGTTTGCAGCTGCTTTCATGCGCCAGTGCCAGGTACCGCCCGCAGAAATACACCTCCCAGGTGTATGAGATCGACTTAGATCGTCTCAAAACCTGCGGAGAAGCTTGGAAGAGCATTAAGAGTCGAGAGTTTTGGATGAGAGTCTTTTGTGGTTTGGCTGTTCGTTGTTGGTGCCTACTCCGCCTTGTGTTTCTACCGCGCAGGGACTGCAGACAGCGTCATGAACCCTCGTCGCACAGAGATGTCAAGCATGGAAAGCCTCAACAGCCATCCGTCCTGAAGACCTTGAAGTGCCTGATCCGATGATGCGCGCGAAGTCTTATCACAACAAAGTAAGATGATCCCATAATAATAAGTTAAAGCATTTTTTCTAAACCCTAAACTTAAACCTTAAACCCTAAACCCTAAACGCTAAACGATGCCCCTTCAAAGCTCATCCGCGCAGCGCTGTCCAACGAGGCGAGCCTAAGGAAGGTGGTCAAAAAACGCATGATCATCCTTCGGCTTCCGGTGTACACGTTTAGGGCTCAGGCGGTTTAGGGTTTTAGGGTTTTAGGGTCTTAGGGTTTTAGGGTTTTAGGGTAGTTTTAGAGTTTTAGGGCTTTAGGGTTTTAGGGTTTTAGCGTTTTAGCGTTTTAGGGTTTAGGGTTCTGGGTTTAGGGTTTAGGGTTTAGGGTTATATCATGCGAGTTGCCTCGCATCGCCTTCCGTTTCCTGGCATGCAGAGCACGGAGTCTGGGTTCCAAAGGGTTTACCCGGTAGGCCCTTGGGACATTGTATATATTTCCCTTTTGGGGCTTAAGAGGATGATATTTAGGAATATCTTTCAGAGGGTATATATTTCCCTTTTGGGGCTTAAGAGGATCATCTTTTGGAATATTTTTCAGAGAGTTTTTCAGGGGCCATCCTAGTTGAGGGTTTTTCGGGTTCAGGGAAGCTTAGAAGCTGAGGTCAGCATCCTGAGTCTATACCCCGACATTGCAGATGTGCCTGGGCGGCCATTGCAAGTACTTAGATGCTGACTTGGTAAGATTTAATCCGTTTTTTGGTATCATAAGCCCCTTCAATGGTTCAACGCCGGAACCTTGGCCCCCGCCCCCACAGAATCCCTAGCAATAATTCCAAATCCCCAAAGCCCTCTGTCGCACAGTTGCCTGGCCTACCTCGTGTCAGTGAGAGCGTCGAAACCATGGAAGCATCCGACCCGAAAAACCTTCAACTCTACGCCCGAAACCTATCGCTTTGAGTTGCAGTCTTTCCAAGGGCTGGTAGGGTTCAAGTTGTTTTTGGGCTTCCTGGCCTCTGGAGTGAGTAAGTCAGCTTTTTCTCACCCCGCAGTTCACTGAAGCATCTGTGTGCAACAAGATTGGGGGTTTACGAGAAAGGGACCCGCAATATAGACCCCCAAATAGCAGGCTCCCCTTAGAATAAGGACCCCAATAGGGTACCCTAACAATGGGACCCCTAAAAAAAGACCCCACCTAGTAGGATCTCCTTAGAATAAGGACCCCAATGGCGTACCCCCAATATCGCAAACAGGAAAACAAATAAGAGACCCCTAATAGGGACCCCAATGGCGCGGCAGAGCGAGAGAGAGAGAGAGAGAGAGAGAATAGGGACCCCAAATAGTAGGACCCCCAATAAGGTACCCCTAATGTCGTAAACCCTAAACCCTAAACCCTAAACCCTAAACCCTAAACCCTAAACCCTAAACCCTAAACTTGGGTTCGGCCGGTCCACACTAACAGTCACCACCAGCAGACCCACAAATAAAAGCACCCGGTAAATGCCAAAAAAATGACTGAGATTCCTGCTATTCCTGGTGCTATTCCTGGTGCTATTTCTGGTGCTATTTCTGGTGCATTTTTTTGTGCTATTCCTGGTGCTATTTCTGGTGCTATTTTTTGTGCTATTGTTTGTGCTATTTCTGGTGCTTTTTTTGTGCTATTGTTTGTGCTATTTCTGGTGCTATTTCTGGTGCTGTTGCTGGTGCTATGTGACTAACAATCACCATCAGCAGACCCACAAAAAACAGCACCCGGTAAATGCTAAGCTGCTAAAATTTACTGGGATTCCTGGTGCTATTTCTGGTGCTATTGTTTGTGCTATTTCTGGTGCTATTTTTTGTGCTATTCCTGGCGCTATTTCTGGTGCTATTTTTTGTGCTATTGTTTGTGCTATTTCTGGTGCTATTTCTGCTGCTATGTGACTAACAGTCACCACCAGCAGACCCACAACAAGAAGCACCCGGTAAATGCTAAAATTGACTGGGATTCCTGGTGCTATTTTTGGCCTGTGTGTTATAAGGCCACGGCGTTATTTGACTGTTAGTGTGGACCGGCCGAACCCTAAACCCTAAACCCTAAACCCTAAACCCTAAACCCTAAACCCTAAACCCTAAACCCTAAACCCTAAACCCTAAACCCTAAACCCTAAACCCTAAACCCTAAACCCTAAACCCTAAACCCTACCCCCTGCGTGCAACAGATATATCTTGCGGCGACGGGAGACCACGATGGTGTCCTGGACGTGAACGGCACGAAGGTGGGGGGATCACCTCTCGGGGGTTTAGGGTTTAGGGTTTAGGGTTTAGGGTTTAGGGTTTAGGGTTTAGGGTTTAGGGCTTAGGGCTTAGGGCTTAGGGTTTTAGGGTCCTTTGCAGTCTAAGAGCGTTTCACGAAAGCAGGGCTGCTGCACCTGGAGGTTCATGGGTAGTTAGAAGTATAGGGCGATGACTAGGGTAGCTATACTTTTAACCTTACTCAGGGAACTTAGAACCCTAGTATTCCTACCCGTGAACCTCCAAGTATTTGTTTAGAGTTCAGGTTTTCGGAGGATTGCGCTTTCATGATCGCGCAACCATGGAGCATGCACAATCGTTGAGGTGGTCCCTAAAGTCGCGACGCGCATGTACAGGCCTAAGAACCTTCGGATTGAGGAGTAGGTAGGCGGCTTAGGATTTTAGGGTTTAGGGTTTAGGGATTTTGGATGTTTTTGTTGAGTTTGAACTTGGCGGAAGGGCTAAATATGTGTCAAGAAGGAGGCCATCGAGAAGCACGCTTGCATGTCTGATCCCAGACTCTACTGATGCATGCTGGATGTCCTTTCAGGGCATGGGGTGCGGAAACCCGAAACCCTAAACCCTAAACCCTAAACCCTAAACCCTAAACCCTACGGGGGTTTTATAAAGCCTAAACCCTAAACCTAGCAACTGGCAGGAGTTGAAGTGCTACCTGGGCAAGTGGTTTGCGTCTCCAGCTTGCCGGGCGCAGCCTCAAAACTGCACGGCCTTGCCACTGGGTGGCGTTATGCATCACAACAGCTCCATAGATCCCATGCAATCTATGCAGGTTATAGGATGCAGTGAATGAAGAAAACCTCTTCCTGAAACATCCTGAAACTTTGCTGCCGACCCTGCCACTTCTGATATTTGTGCGCCGGTAGTCCGAATGCCTCGCATATGCTCGGTAAGAAGTTGAAGTCATCTGAAAGCCCACTCTGGCAAAACTCTGCGACATGTGTCAGTATTTTCTGAGGATCACCGGCGGCGATGGTTGGGGTACCCTTCACCTGACGCAGCAGATCTCGCAAATCGGCCTTAGGGAGCTTAAGATCGAGTTAGGGGGCTTAGGGCTTAGGGTTCAGGGTTTAGGGTTTAAGGTTGAACTTCGGATCGTGGCCCGGTAATCTGGCTGTTCCTGGGCGTTTTTTGGGCGCTCAGTCCCCACGACACCAAACTCCTGAAGCCCTAAACCCTAAGCCCTAACCCCTAAACCCTAAAGCCCCTTCTAGAATGCAACCTGCAGGTTTCACAACATGCCTGTGGCAATCGCGACAGCTGTCAGCCGTGACGATTGGAGAATCTTGAACCAGGAGCATGTGCACCGCAGCACTTTAGGGTTTAGGGTTTAGGGTTTAAAGTTTAGGGTTTAGGGTTTAGGGCCACAGTGCTTCAAAGCAACGTGGGCGCTTAGCCTCACAAGAGCCAATTGTGCCTCAAGGATCGTCAGTCAAACCCTAAGCCCTAAACCCTAAACCCTACACAGATGAGTGCGAAGCTCCCGGTGAGCTGTATCCCTCAGAGCCACTCGCATCTTAAACCAGACCTGACCTGTAATAATGGGGTCGGAATAGGGTTTAGGGTTGAGGGAAATGGTATTCTCCCATGGTCCCTTTGTAATTATACTACAATAACCCCCAAAACCCTATAGTTATTAAGGCTCCTACATTAACATCCGAAAGCTGGAAGGAGTTCCCGAGTTTGGTCTACTGGTGGAAGCCCGTTGCTTGGACAAGAACGGCCCCGAAAAACCTTGGCCCCGCTCCTTTGTGTACCCCACTCAGGCTTGGGACTTGGGTCTTGCCAGCGGATGCATCTACTGTTTGCTGAAGTTCAAGTGTTTGTGTTTGAGAGTTGGCAGGGTGAATGGTTGGTTAGTTGGTTGGTTGGTTGACGTCTGTTGTTGCGAGTCTGCTGTTGCATGTCTGGTGCTGCCCTGCTGTTGCTGGTGTTTGTCGTGGTCGTCGCGGTCGTCGTGGTCATCGTCGTGGTCGCCGTGGTCGTCGTGGTGGTGTTGTTGCTGCTGCTGTGGTTTCGCCGCGGTGGAGTGTTGTATCTTGGAGACTGTTTAGGCATGACTTGTGCCTGTCCCTGCTTTTCAAGCCTCTGGTTTGTCCTTTCAAGGCCGAGGGCTTAGACGTTTCGGGGGGCCAGGAAACCCCTCGCAACAAGTTAAACAGCAACCAACTCCCAAGACTAAAGCTCAGGACACCACCTTCGTCCTGCAGTCTCCGGCGTATGTCATTCTGCCGCTCCACAATCAGTCCGAGTACGCGCGCTTGAACTACCGTGCCTTGGATGCCATCAGAAGCCCTGCGCACTCTTTTCAGCCACGCCTGGCTCCATCCAGCCAAACCCTTAGTCGGGATTATCATAGGGGGGGTACTATAAACCCTAAACCCTAAACCCTATGAAGGACTGATTGGAATAAGGCGGAAACATCCCAATCTAACACTGCAAGCCCTCCGCAATCCCGCAGGATCGCAGCGAAAGCACACCTGGCTGGTGAATTTGGCAGCCCCCGGCTCCTCGCAAGCACCCAGCGGTTCAGGGTTTAGGGTTTAGGGTGTAGGGCACCCATCCCTTGAGGGGTAGGATTTCGGCGACCGTAACTACTTCCATATACCCTCAAAACCCTCAAAGCCCTCAAACCTAATACCCAGCCAACCACAAGCCGCGTGGGCAGGGGAGGGAGTTTATGGTTTAGGGTTCATAGGGCGTGACCACATGTGAAATACAGGCGTCGGAATAAGTTCTAATAGCATGCACTTATGGTCCCTTAGTATTTATACTGTAGTAGCCCCCAAAACCATATTCTAATTATTAGGGCACCTCTAGTAGTGCTGCAGACGAAGGTTTCGCAGAAGTCGCTCCGCTTCCCGTTTCACTGGTCCGGAATATGCAGATCACGGAAGCTGACATTTCCAAGCTCTTGGCACTGCCTCTTGGCTGTGCCCTGTGCCGGATCCACAGGTTCAGAGCTTTTGCAACCAGGTCTTGGGTGCCTCATTAGGTGTGCTGCAGGCAGTTGCACGCCTAAACAGAGGTTATGAGTTATACATGTCGAGTTTCAGGCTCACAAAAAGCACACACGCCGAATCCTGAAGCCTGACTTGTGAGGCACGTGCAACAAGACGGCACGCCGGATGCGTGGACTAGTGCCTGCACCTGGCTACTGCAGGAGACAAGACGTGGGTGGGAGGGGGCAGAGGGTCCCAGGGTCTAATGTTGACTTCCGATCAAGTAAGGTACCCTGGAATTGTCGAGCAACTGCCTGCACAGAAGGCTTCAGCTTGGCAAAAACTCCTTCGGAATATTGCGTAACTTTGGCACGATCATTCTACCCCTCCCGCAGGGATGAAGACGGAACGATTCCCTCCCCTGGGCTCTGAAGCCGGATTTCTTGTATTTGGCCATGAATTTCCTGGGAGTCTGGAACTTCAACTTGTCTTCGCGCGTCGAGTGAGTCAAGCGCTCCTCGTTGCTCGGGTATGTGTCGTGTCGTGTCCTCGTGTCGTGTCCTCGTGTCGTTTGTGAAGATTGAGGATGCCTGGCAGCAGCGGCTCGCAACTGTCTGCCGGCAGTGTACAGTCCACGGCGGATGGGCTATGGAGGGCAGTTTCCTGCGACAGCCACCCTGATCAGGTCACAAGTACGGTTGTTGTGCATGTCGTGACTCTAGCCAGCTTGACGCGGTCGTGCGTTTTCGTGTGGTGCCCATAAGCCAATGGCACATTCTGAATCAGGTTCATGTGATGTCAAGTCGCTTGCTGCCTCCCGTGAAGATTCGGGTGCGCCGCAACCACACTCATGACTCAAGCAAATCTAAATCCCAAACTCCCAACAACCCAAACTTGTGAGCCCCCAAACGTGGCCCCGAGTTTGGGTTTGAACTACGGTAGTTTGGGTTTGTACTGCGGTATCTACAGTGGCTCCCGCGATGACCTAGCTGGAGGCAACTGGAGGGAAGACTTGCGCTCTGTGCAAAGATGGGCTCCCGTCACACAAGTGGCTGCGCTTGGAAGCCTTTTTCAAGCGGCAGTACATGCAGCGTCTTTCCAGGAGCTAAGCCCTAATATCCCCAAACCCTAGACCCTAAGCTTTTTTGCCCGTCAGCTTCACAGGAGACCAAGTGGACATCTTGGATCCCGTCCGTCACAGACTCTCGAATCCATTCAACTTCTAGGTAGTGGCGCTGGGGACATTTTCCATTTTCCCTTATTGGGTTTAGGCTTCAGGGCTTTTGGAATATTTTGGGCTTACGAGGAAATGTTTAGGGATAATGTTGACCTCCTACGAATAACCCCCCTCGCCTCGACCCCCTAATGAAGGGGGGGGGGGGGGTCGGGCTGTCCCGAGCCGCCCCACGCCCTGACCTACCCAAAAAAGCCCATAGGGAGAAAAAAAATCGGGCCCCGGCGCCGGGGTTCCTTAATTGAGGGGGGGGGGGGTCAGAATTGAGCTCCGGGCTTGGAGGTTTATAAAAAGTGAGGTTAGCATTCGTTCTGTCGAAGGGTTCTTGGGGCCATCCTAGTTTTGTCATGGCTCAGACGTTGGGGGCTTGAGGGTTCTGTGGAGCAAGAGACCGTCCGATCGCAAGGCAGTTGCTAATGTCCCCGCCCACCCCCCGCCCCTCAATATCCCTCCATCAGCGTGTCTCGAGAGCAAATCCTTGAACCTTCAACCCTGAAACCCTCAACCCTTGCTCAGGGGATCAGGGGGTTAGTGACTTGGCTTGGGAGCGCTTAGCTTCTGCCAATGACAATCCTACCAGAGTTGCAAGGTTAACCGTACGACATCGTAATGCAAGCGGGGTGTTGTATCTCGTTATAACTGGCTCGGGTTAGGCAGGCCCGGATATCAGATTAGCTTAGCTGATGCTGCGGCTCGGTGGTCAATTTTGGCAGCTCGGGTTGTTAGGCTGCTGTACCTTCGCATTGGTGCAGCCTGCATGTTGTTTCCGAGTGGTTTCCAACTTGATATTCGGCTTGTTTTGTGATGTATGAACTATATAGCATGGAAATCAACTACTTGCCCCCCCAGACCCTCCCAATAGAAATATTCACATGGTGAGAATCAAAGATATACTGAACGACGGGAGATGACAAAATCCCTTGAAGCCCCAGGATTGCTTTCCCGGCAGCGGTTTGGTTGATGCCGCTGGCAACTGGGTGGCGGACACGACGCTAGCAGTCGGATGCCAGCCTTGCCCCACAGGCTCCTTCTTGGTAGCCCTGTGGTGCCCTTTACCCTGGTTTTGGGTTATGGGTTCCGTTTTGAAGTAACCAAGCCCAAGAAAGGGTGCCCTCATTTTAATGTGGTTATTGGGCTACCGAGCCTTGTTCGCGTGATATTTCCTGATGCATTTTAGCACACATGTCCTCAACCTTAATTACCGACCTCTATGAACCCCGTTATGCCTGGTACCCAAAAACAGCCCCCTGATAATGATATTCGTGCAGGCGCGTTCTCCAAGGGCTTGGCTGGCACGCGCACGCGTGCTTGCCAGCTTTGCCCAGCAGGGAGCAATCAGAACCTCGGCTTACAGGTGACACAACACTTTTCCTTGCTGCATTCATTGGGATGTTCCCCCCTTACACAAACAGTCTTTAGGGACTCTAGTACCCCCTATTATGGTCCCTATGAAGGACTGTTAGTACAAGGGAAAACATCCCAGCGCATTTAGGTCAAAAGAAGATCTGCAGTTTAAGATCGGAGCTCGAGGTGTGGTAGGCTTTTGGACGGTCATGTGGTGCTAGAGGTTTTGCTGTCTGTTGGGTGCCAAAGGCTTCACCGCCGCAAAGCATAGGACATGAAACCCTTAGAGGGGTCTTAGCCAAGCCAACCTGCAAATAGATTTTGAGGGTTTTGTTGAGGGGTTAATGGCTTTCAGAATCCTGCTGCCACATGGAATGCGGCGCAGGCCTGTTATTTTTTGCGCGTCGGGCGTGCAAAAAAACTAGTTCGCAGGTTGTGTTTGCTCGTGGTGCTTCTTTGAACTGATGGCTTCATGCCGCGATTTTTCTTTTGGTAGTTGGCGTTTTGACTGTCAATGTGTCCTTCATGTCTCGGTGAGTTCGCTTGTCGCTTCATTGCCACATCGGGCTTCAGCAGTCGACCCTAAACCCTAAACCCTAAACCCTAAGCCCTAAACCCTAAACCCTAAACCCTAAACCCTAAACCCACAAACATGAACTTGAGGATGGTGGTTGTTTGGAAAAGGGCTCCCTTTGACTTCCTGGTGTATTCCCCGCAACTTCTCGGACCCCAGCCCGAAGCCTAGGACTCCATTAGGGTTTGGGGTTTAGGGTTTAGGGTTTGGGGTTTGGGGTTTGGGGTTTAGGGTTCAAGGTTTAGGGTTTAGCAAAAGTGTATGTAAATATATACCGATATCAGTACCTGACCCTATATAGACCCTCAACCCTCAACGTGCTTTGGGTTATTTGAGCCCCTGAGTCAATCCAGAGATTTGATTTTGTAAAATAGTGGGCAAGGCCAGGCCCCGACTGAGACTTTGCAGACTGGTCTCAGTGGAAGTGGCTGGAAGTTTCAACGTGCGCGTGTTCGTGTGTTGGTTGGTTGTTGTTTTATTGGTTTTCTTGGTGTTCTTGGTTGTCTTGGTTTTCTTGGGGTTGGTTTGGTTGCTTTGTTTGGTTCGGTTGGTTTGGTTGGTGTTTGGTTGGGATTTAAAACATATTGGGGGGGATTTTCGATATTAGGGGTACCCCTTGTTTACCCCAAAATACTATATAATCCTTTTGGAGGAACCCCGAAAAGGGTACACTCTTTTCGGAAACCCCCCCATAATCATATAAGGCTCACAGGTTGAACTGTCTAACGTTCGGGTGTGCGGACCCGTTCCATTGCGCCCCATTCATGTACCAGAAGCTCGTCGATCAGAACCCTAAACCCTAAACCCTAAGCCACACTTACAAGTTACGGCTAAGGGACTTGCCGCCTTGCCCGAGTCCGAACCGAGACCCGCTCACCAGGCATTTGGTGGGACAGTCTGCGTGCACGCCATGTGCGCCCGGGTCCGTGGCTCCAGCCACTGGGCTGGCCATGGGTTGGCTCGTATTTGGAACTTGCGTTCTGGTCAAGGCTTCGGAACTGTCTCGGGCTTTTTGGGGCTTGAGAAGGTTCGACGTCCTGTTTGGAACCGCTTGAGAAGAAAAAGGCTTGGAGTTTCGGATGACAAGCGTGCACGAATCGAGGAGCAGAGCGAGACCCCCTTCCAATCCTAACCGCAGACCGCTATCCAAGCAGCCAGGGCCCATATGAAAGCCTTTGAAGCCGCAGACAGAGACAGATTCCTGATTTAGTATTTTTAGGGCCTGCTGAAGCCATGGTTCAGGGTTTGAGGGTCTTCAACCCTAAATTGCCCTAAACCCTAAACCCTAAACCCCAAACCCTAAACCTTAAGTTTAAGAGCCGACGAAGCACCAGCCCAGGAGCCTGGCCTCACCGAATGTGAGCTTTGTGGCCTGGGCAAGTATGCGTCCCTACCGCTGCAGAACAGCCCTGCCCCGTTCCATATGCTACAGTATGACAGGCTATAAGATACTAGCACATACTATGCTAGGCAATGATATGTCTGGTATGATACGCTATAAGATTAGAGGATGAGCTATAAGCTGCTATGCTAGATTCTACGAGAATCAAGTGTAACAATTGATACCAAGATACACTGTGGTATACTATGCAGCTTCCTTTTGAGAAGCGCCCTTGGCATGAAGTTCATGGATGTGTAGCTTCGGTCTTGGCTTTGCATTTGTCCTGTTTTCTTGGGAGGTCGAGGGTCGGGTGCGATTCCAGCTTGCTGACAATTCACGCACCCCCGTTCACGGCGGGTTTAGCGTTTCGGGTCCCCTCCCACCCTAAACCCTAAACCCTAAACCCTAAAGCAAGTCTAGGGTTGAGGGTTTTAATCTGGGGGCCTGAACCTCGAGTCCGTTGCAAGTTGAGTTTTCGGAGGTGTTGTCCCGAATCCTGCCAAGGAATGAGAGTGGGATGACGGCCTGCCATGCATGTGGCGACCAGGCCCTGCAGAAGAAGCTTGTAGACGTGTTTTTGGGATGGTTTTAGGTTTGGGGCTGTACGAAAACAATGGACCCCGAATACAGACCCCCAAAAGTAGGATTTCCAACAATTAAGGACCCCAATAAGGTGCCCCTAATTTCGGAAGCCCCTAATTTCGGAAACCTTCCTGTGTTGTGTGGTGGGAGTTCGTGTCTCGGGGGTTGACGTGTCCATCAGGCACCCTCGAACGATAAACCTGCAGGAGCAAGCGTCCTTGTGGACCACAAGGCTGCAACTGGGGTCGCCCGGACGTCACGTCAGAAAGTGTGGGTCAATGGTTTTCAGGCCGTGAGTGAGGGCTGTCGGGGCATTGGGCGTGGGGCTGGGGGCTGCTCTCCCCCCGAAAGAAGAGAGTTCTCGTTGCTGGTGTTTCTCGACCGATCTGGGGCGTTTGACGCCGATTTTCGCTGAATCCCTTAAATATACCATCAACACTTGAGCATCTTGGTCAAGGGCTACTCCTACCCCCCCCCCCCAATTATTGTTTTGTTTTGATTTTTTCCCAGACCCAGACTCTTTGACAGTTACGAGGGTTTCAAGTGGAAAGGGTCAGGGGTGTTGGGTTCCGGGGGCAGACCGTGCGTAGACCCCTCCGCCTCCAAATATTTGCCGGCAGGACCGAATTGGGATGGATTTGTGGGAGGGCAATCAGGCTTGGTGCTTGAGCATGTTTAGGTCTAACGATTTGGCAAGTTGCTTTGGTAGTTGCTCAAGCTGATTTGCGTTTTCGGACTTCGGTTGAAGTCAGCACTTCTCTAGCCTCCCCGTCTGCCAAACCCGAAGTAGGGTTTTGGTCTTTCGGCTTTGTTAAGGGTTTGAAAGTTGATTGAGCCTAAAGTTGGCCAGGGGGTTGTAAATTGAGGTCCCTTTTTCGGGCGCGTGCTCCCCACAGTTCGGACGTTGCCCGAAATAAGGTTATAACCAGTTATGACTATAGTGCCCCACTGATACCTACTCATGAACCTCAGTCTTTCAGCCCCAAACCCTAAACCCTAAACCCTAAGCCCTCGAAGTCTTCCAGCACCCTCTTCCTTCGGGACGGCTCACGAACCAAGGGCCTCCCGCTCGGTGCTGAAGGATGGGGCGTCCTCAGCGGAACCCTGGGTTGCACCCCATTACCCCTAAACTGCATGAACCCTAAAACCCTAAGCCCCCCTCTAAGCCCCCCTAAGCTCCCTAAGCCCCCTAAACCCCCTAAACCCTAAACCCTAAACCCTAAACCCAAAGCCCCCTCAGCGCCCGCAACCCGAGGCCCGAAAGTCCGAGCCTTGCCTTCCAAGAAACAACCAACACCCAAAGCCCTAAAACCCTAAACTCCCTCGCGTCCCGGGGCCCCAGAAGCCAAGGGTGGTTGGGTTTAGTTTAGTGTTTGGGGTTTGGGGTTTGGGGTTTGGGGTTTAGGGTTTAGGGTTTAGGGTTAGGCTAGTCTGGCGTGGGGTCCTCAGGAATATGCTGCTGTTGGTTTAGCTTGGGCTTTCGGCTTCTCAGGCTTGTGATTTGTGCTTGCGTGCTCTTCAATTCAAGGACAGAACTCGGAAAGTTGAGTTTAGGGTTTAGGGTTTAGGGTTTAGGGTTTAGTTTTTAGGGTTTAGGGTTTAGGGTTTAGGGTTAAGGGTTCAGTGCGTATGCGTTGAAGAGTCTGCATGTCTCGAGATTCGGAGCTGCTGAGACCCCCCTTTCTCCCCCCAGACAACCTGCGCCTTTTGGAAGCTGAGCTTCCTACTCCTAAGGCTCCAAGGGCTCTTATTCAAGGGGTTTTGGGCCCAAAGGCATGATTATCATGATAATCATTGTTATCAGTACGATTAGTATTATTATTCTTCTTATTATTGTTACTATTATTGTCATTATGTCGGGTTTTTGGGGCTGTTTTGAGCCTCAGGGTATGACTTTGCTCCAACCAGCCGGGCCCATGTTTGCTGAGTTCAGAAACCAAGCCCTGGATTCTGAGGCCAGCCTCTTGAAAGGGTTTAGGGTTTAGGGTTCCCTGTCCCAGGCAGGCAGTGCAGCAGTCCTAGCCGTAAAAAGGGTTCCATGGAGCTCTCCTTAGACCCCCAGGCAGAGTGCAGCTGCGCTGATGGGGCTTTCCTCACGCATGGGCCGCTGTGTTTGACCTTGGATGCTGAGGTTCAAAGGCCTCTTGAGATTTGAAGCCCTTAAAGGTGAGAGGGGGAGCTAGGGATGTGTCGTTTCAGGGTTCAAGTGCTCGAGCACAGCAGGGAGAGACAGTTTAAAGAGGAGCGACACCAAGCAATCTACAGCCGGCTTCAGGGTGGCATCAGTATGTTTTGATTGAGGTTTTACGTTCCATTGGCCAGGCCCAGCCAAATTTGATAGGGTTCGAAAGCAGAGAAGGTGTCCGTGAGAACCCTCAGTCAGCAAAACGATGAAGTGCTTGGTGCAGGCGGAGAAAGCTTACATCCCAAACCTGAACCCTAAACCCTAAACCCTGCACGAGCGCACCGAAGCCAAAGGCGATGTGCAGTCTGCACCAGCGGTGCTATCTGCAAGGGCGGGGGAAACTTGACTTTGCATCCAGGCACCTTGGCATTGTTGAAAGTACGAGCTGTCCCCAGGTTTTTGGGTGTTCGGGGTCACGGTGTTAGGGTTTGGTGTCAATTTTTGTTTTTTGCGGTGGAGGGGGGTGGGTGGGGGGTGGGTGGGTGGGGGTTTGCGGTTGGTAAAGCTGTAGAGCTGTAGATTTCAGGGTTTCAAGGTTACTCGGTTTTGGCTTTTCGGTTACCGGGGTGCAAAATGGTGTTCCTCTCCTGCAAAAAAATGAGAGCCCAACCCTAAACCCTAAACCCTAAATCCTAAACCCTAAACCCTAAACCCTAAACCCTAAACCCTAAACCCTAAACCCTAAACCCTAAACCCTAAACCCTAAACCCTAAACCCTAAACCCTAAACCCTACCTCGGAAGCAACAAGGTGCTGAGGGTTCAGGGTTGAGGGCTTAGGGCTTAGGGTTTAGGGTTTAGGGTTTAGGGAGGGTTTCAGGGCTTTGGGGCTTTTTTGCAGGGGCTGAAGTGACAGTCTCCAGCCCTAAACCCTAAACCCTAAACCCCAATAGGCCTGTATCCAGGTTATTTCTCTGCGGTCGAGGAGCCGCCTCCCGAGCAAAGTTCTTCCGCTTCTGACAGACAGGGATTGCAAGAATACTTGGAGGTTCATGGGTAGTTATAAGTAGGGAGTACAAGAATACTTGGAGGTTCATGGGTAGATATAATTAGGACCGGGAGTAGGCCCTTTTGTCCTTTTTTCAGGGTTGGGGTTCCCTTATAATTCCCTGAAAACCTAAAAGGGGACCCTTTCTATTCCTAGGTTACTCCCGGGTCTAGATAAGTAGGGTTATAAGTATCCTAAGTAAGCTCATAAGTATAGTTACCCAACTTACAACCCTACTTATTACCCATGAACCTTCAAGTAGTAGTCACCAGGATGGGCCATGAGACCCTAGAACCTTAAACAAGGACCTTTAAGGGGTTGACTACGGGGATTATGAGGCTTCATAGACCACCCTGTCAAGTCACCATGCTTCACCCAAGACCCCAAAGTGCCTTTCTGAAGGATCCAACCGCACGACAACCCGGCAGGATGCCCTAAACCCTAAACCCTAAACCCTAAACCCTGTTGCAAAGTCACACAAAGCCCCTTCGAACTCTCGCTGGCTCTCCGCTGCGCGTTTTAGCAATTCCATTTTCTCCGGCATACCAGCTTGCTTTCATAAGTTTAAACATCTTGCACAGCCTGTTTCGTGTAAAACTTGCAGATGTTCAAAAGAAGGAAACGTTCAGCTTTTTCTCAAAAGCCCTAAGCTTTTCCTAAACCATGCTTTCCGTTTTCGAGGCCAATGGTTTTTTCATACTGAGGAGCCGTGGAAACGTTGGTGGCTGTAGTGTTTTCGAGCTTTGAGTACTTAGGTTGTGAGCAAGTCTGGTCTGCATTTAACTTCCGCTACGCTCTTTACGAGACCAGGTCTCTGCCCGCAGGTGGTCCCGCGTCGTCGCCTGCCATAAGTCCCCGTTCTTACCCCATTTTACCTGAAATGTGTGATGACAATGTCACCGACAATGTGAGTTCAGATCGTCATCCCATCGTTCGGATGAGGCGCGCTTGTACTGCTAGCGTGGGGTTTTCTGTGTGTTAAAACGTGGCTTGACAGCGACTGGAGTAATGAACATGCCTTTTAGTCAGAGCCCCCCAGAGGCCAAGCGAAGCCGTCCAAGAGCAGAAAAGTCTACACGTCACAGGTCCGTGCCAGAGCTTTTGAGCACTGGCGAGAACATGAGAACATGCATGCGTGCTCCCAGTGCCGCCTATTGCTTCCAAAATTGCAAGAAGCATTTTTGTTCAGGCAGTTTGCAGGCATAGTCTCTAGAGGAGTTGGGAAAAATGCCTTCAGAGACAGTACTTACAACCCACTTAGAAGCCCCTTAAGTACCTTGTCATGGTTGTAAGTACAGGTAGAAGTACAGTTATATTCGCTTGAGAAGTACCATGAACCTCCAAGCTCCAAAAACCCTCAACCCTAAACCCTAAACCCTAAACCCTAAAAGGAGCCGAACTTCATCTACCGCTGCTTCGGAAGTCTGGCGGCGGCCTGCCCGGGCGGGCAGCCGGGCATTTGCGCCGAGGGCCCCGAATCTGCTATTAGGTTTGCTTCCCCCAGTATGTAAAGAATTTAGGGGGTTTAGGGTTTGGGGTTTAGGGTTTGGGGGGGTTCCTTGTGGGGAGTTGCTGGTAGGAAATGAGGAACTGCACTAGTCAGTCTAGGGTCAGGTTAGGGAGTTCTTTGTGGCGAGTTACTGGTAGGAAAGGAGGAGTTGCGCTAGTCAGCCTGGGGTTGTGGAGTTGAGGTCTGGGTACTGCTTGAAGCTTTCAGAGCCCTGAGTGTGTTTCAAACTCCTACCCTCGCCTCCTCCACTCGTACGATATGGCCAGTTCTCAAAATGAGGGTCCCTTTTTGGGGTACCCTAACTATTACGGGCCGCCTTATACTAGTCGTAAAGGGAACCGACTGTAGAGAAGTGACCGTATTTGAAAGCCCAAACTTCGCAAGGCCATTTTCAAAGCTCGGCAGGGCTTGGGTGTTGCCAAACACCCAGCCTTACCACTCCGAAGGCCTAATTCAACCCTACCTGTAGACCTAAGAAGCGCGCGAAGACCACCCTGTCAGCTAGTTTAGCTTTGAATTCTAATCAAAACCCGTCGCGCCCGGACCCTCAGCTAACCCGAAAACTCAGAATTCCATCACACCTCATATCCCCCCACCTCACGCTCTAAAAAAAAAATTATCCGGGGGGGTGGGGGGGGGGGGTAGGGAAGGGGGGGAGACGGACTCGACAACCCCAAACCCGTAAACCCTTTGAAGCCCTAACCCCAAGCAACAAACCCAAGGAAGGGATCCCAGCAGTGTGGCATGCAGCCACTGCCTGCCGGGCTTCCGCTCAAAGGCCCGGTCCTGTGCTCAGGGAGCGCCTGACTTCTTCACTAGGGCGGGTTTGGGGTCTGGGTTCAAAAAAGGTATCAAAAAAAACCTAACACCACCATAAAATTAGGAGGAAGTCGCCCTCAAAATCAGAGGGTTTAGGGTTTAGGGTTTAGGGTTGAGGAGAGAGAGGCTTCCTGGTCTTTCTTGGCCTTTTGGCTTTCGGCTTTGGCTTCTTGGGCTCATGGCTGCTTGGCCTTCAGTTTTCCTGCAAGGGTTAGATATATATATATATATATATATGTGCATATATATATATACAAGTATATGTACATATACATATTTGTTGAACGAAAGCTAGAAATACTTTCTAGCTTCTTTTGCCTTTGTAACAAAGGTGAGCCAAAGCGAATAGGGCATAGGGTGGCTTCTATTTGTGTTGGGCTTCAGGGTTTCGGGCGTGTTGAAGGGCTCCTGAGCTTTGGGGGCAAAAAGCGTTCTCCGGGGATCCTAGGGAGACAGCGGAATGAAGGGCTCGAGGGTTCTTCGTTCACAGACTACGATTTGGGTTGAGGGTTTAGGGCGTCGGCCCAATCATCAAGGGAAGCGCCCTTTGGCAAGCCCTAAACTCCAAACCCTAACCTTGTTGAGGGGCACTGCTGGGCTGGGTCATGACTATATCCCCCATGGGAATTAGTCTCTATGTTTGTTTATATGAAACCCAAGAGGATAGATATTAAGCATACTATTTATCTTGAGGTTCTAAGGGGGGTATAGATGAGGATTCTACCTGCACTGCTTGCGGCGCCGGAGATGCAGTCTTCGCAGTCTTCGTGGCCTGGCACAGACCGTACTTGCAACTCCACAAGCTTCCCGGGCCCTAGCAGCCTTGCCTTCCAACCACTAATTACCCAGAAAGCTCAATTCCATTCCATTAAGGAACATACCTGAAACTAGAGAGAACCCTCATCTGCATTAAGCTTTCAGTAAGGTAGATTCCTCAATTGAGGGCTATTGAGGGCTGTCGGGCTCTTTGGGTAGGTGTGCCCGTGGGCAAGGATGCAAATACTCCTCGGAGCCACACGGAAGGTCCCAAACGGTAAAGCAGCCGCAACAGGCTGCCGAGGAGCATTCGGGGCAGCGCTAAACTAGGGTTCGTTTCTGGCGGTCTTCTTCGCAAGGACCCCATAAACATGGTTTAGGGCTAAGGGCTAAGGGCTTAAGGGCTTAAGGGCTTAAGGGCTTAAAAGGCTTAAAGGCTTAGGGCTTAGGGCATTCAGGCCTTAGGGCATTCAGGCACTCTTTTGCCTAGCTGGACGAGTCCCCTGAGCCGCCTGCACGGAGGAGATCAACAGCTTACATGGCCCCACCTTGTTAGCCCAGTGGTACCCCTTTTCCCGTTTTTTGGGTTCAAGGTTCCCTTCTACAGTAGCCAAGCCACAAGAGAGCACTGTACTCTTCTTCTATGGCTACTGGGCGACTTCAAGTCATTGCAGGGTTCAGGCCCGCAGAAGGTGTTGAATTATGTTTAGGGTTTAGGTTTTAGAGTTCAGGGTTGGCCGGGTTTAGGTTTTAGAGTTTAGGGTTGGCCTCAACTCAGCTTTTAGGTGTCCTTGTCCTTTGTCTGCCTCGTGGTCTTCATGTACCTGATCTGGGTGCGGCGGAGCCACAGGACTGGGACTGGAAGCGGTTGGGGGTTTAGGGTTTAGGGGTGGACCCGAGGGAATTTTTACAAGGGTTCCAATGGGGGTTTGCGAATTGGGGGGGGAGGGGGGGGGGAGGGGGGGGGGGGGTCCTTGTTGTAAGGGGATCCTACTATTTGGGGGACTATATGTGGAGACCCCCTAAACCCTAAACCCTAAACCCATTATCGTAGACTCCCAAATATGGCTTGCTGCACGAGGCAGAAAACCCTGGATCTGCCGAGCTTTATACACATAGGGTTTAGGGTTTAGGGTTTAGGCCCCAAGAACCCTACTTGGAGGTTCATGGTACGTATTAACCAAGTACAACTGTACTTATCACCGTACTTAGAAGCATATTGGGGCACTTCAGGGGCTTATAAGTGGGTGATAAGTACAGATATAATTGGTAAATCAGTACCATGAACCTCCAAGTACACTCCTGGCCAGCCTCTGCTGCGCCGCAGGGGAGAAAAACCTTAAACCCTAAACCCGAAACCCTAAACCCTAAACCCTAAACCCTTTGCAGGACGGGGTACTCGGGACACGTCTTGATCACAGCTCTCGCCCTCGGGCAGATGGCTCTCCGGATCAATATCACAGCTTGGGTGCAACTTATAGGGGTGCTCAGGAGCTGCTGAGGCATGCGCACGAAATTCTATCTTAAGTCCTCCAAGCCCTGAAAACCGGTCGCCCCAGTCCCAAGCTGCGTAGGCCTTGTTGTGTTTGAAGTTGTTTCCGTATCGAGGTGACTTCGGTAGCCCTAGTCGCAAGCTCCAGCATACAGGCTGCGACTTGGAATCTAGGGGGCCCTACTCCACTGCGCATGATGCACTTCTTTGGCCGGGCTTCGGGGTGCAGGGCTGCACGTGTTGGAGCTTGTTTGTTTTCTACTTTCACAGCTCTTAAACCAGTTCCTCCAGCCCAAAGCAACCCGAAACCTTAAGTAGCCTCTAGCCTAGTCCCAGTGCACCATTTCAACACCCTTACTGCCCCTTGAAAAGCCCTCAGACCCTCAAACCCGAAACCAAAGGTCACTGCCTTCCAGCAGCTGTTGGTCATCCAGCAGTTTGAGATTGTTTGGGCCGAGCCTTTCCGCGGTGTCTTGGCTGTTGCGAATGGTGGCGGAACCTACTTAGAGTTTAGGGTGAAGGGTTTAGGGTTTAGAGTTTAGGGTTTAGGGTTCAGGGTTTCGCCCACGACCTGCCTCAGATTCATTGCATGCCCGGAAGCATCTTCCGGATGTCGGATCTCGGGAATGGGGTTGCTAGCTCAGCCAGATTCAACCAGGAAGGCATCGTGTTAAAAAGTCTCGGGAAGAACGGGGGAGGTTGGGTTGCACTGAAACTACGTGACAACCCCCAAGACTTTTCTTCTTACGAACTCCGGAGTCCAGACCCCATGCCGACAATTCAGCCTTGCAGCCCTCCAAAATCCAGGGCCTCAGAATACCTGAAGTCCTAAACCCCGAACATCACGAAATATTCCCAACCCTATAGAAGCCCTAACAAACACTGAAGCCTTCAAAGGGGCTCGGGTTGGCTACGTCTAAGGCTATTGGGGCATCAAGATTGGGGGGAGGGTGGGGCAGCTGAGGTCTTATGGAGGCGGTGGACTTCATCAGCTTGAACTTGCAGATTGTGTCGGTTGAGTGCTTCGCACCACAAGGGGAGCTCATGCGGTATGTGCCTCCTGGCCCGACAACTTCAGCTGGGGTTCTTCGTGCACGTTCAGGGTCTCAGTGCAAAAGCCTGCTGCGTACTTCGGCACGAACAGTGCAGTGAGCTTGTGAAAAATCTGTGCCACCCCAAATCGGGTGCCCAACCGCTTTATTTCGAGAAGCAATACTCTCAGGACTTCAACCTTTTGGGTTTTTGAAGCAACACACTAAGGAGCCGAAAAGTTTTTCAGGTTAGCAGGTTCGCTTTGAGTTTGGCATTTGCCCTCAACCCTAAACCCTAAACCCTAAACCACCCTCGGAAATCCCAGGCTCCAGACACTGCTTGTTCCCGCGGTCGCAGTGGTGCTGGGCATCGTCCATGTCATCTACATCCTGTCGATACGCTCTTCAAGCGTACCCCTGCCTTGCCTGTGGTTATATCCCTAAACCCTAAACCCTAAACCCTAAACCCTAAATGGTTTAGGGTTGGGCAGGGCCTTGGAGCCATGGGCTAGGCCTGGGTAGGACCTCGGGGCATGGGTAGGGCTTGATGGCCAGGTTCATGGCTTGGGTCGAACTCCATGATTCGAAGAGAATCCTCGGCAATAGTGCCGCAGATTTTTTCTGTAATACCAATCTCTCTATGTATGTAGGTATGCCTCCATACATGTATATATATACACATACAGTTGCATATATATATATATATATATACAGGTATATATATATATACATACAGTTGCATGTAAGTCGAGTGCAGGATTCTCGGATCCCTGCTTCATATGCCTAACACTTCCGAAGCCCCCCAACGCCCTGAGGCACACCCGGAACTGCTGGTGGGAGCTTTTGGCTCCATCCTCTTGACGTTTTTCATTACGCACCGCGGCTGCCATGAGCTGTCGACTCGGTTCGCTTCTGAGTAGTTTCTTTAAGTAAGTGCGGGTACTTGTCAGCAGGGTCATAGTGGGTTATATGAGTGGGTACTCTACTTACGGCCCTCCTAGAAGTTAGGTCAACCCCTAGACTTTGCAGTCAATGAACCCGCAAAAGAGCGCCCGTAGTTCGGAGGCCCAAGACTCCTGCACTCTGTTTGCGACTGACTTCGGGTCTACAAGAGGGAGGGCGAGATTCATTGAAGTTGAAGGTGAGGCTTGTAAAACCCTAAACCCTAAAACCCTAAACCCTAAGTTGTTGTCCAGCTCGTGGTGTTTGCGCAAGCCGATGAAGGAACCACACCGAGCACCCCTTCGACCCCGTCAGAACACTTTGCTCTCACTGATGCTCCGCAACTGCTCCCGCAACACCTAAACCCCGAACCCTAAACCCCAAACGACTACATATATATATATATATACCCAATATCACAAAATATAACTGTGTTGCAAATGTCGGCTGGGTTGTAAAGCAAGGGCCTTCCCCAAACCCTCACCGCAGAACCTCTTGCACTCTAAACTCTAAACCCAAAAAACAAAACCCAAACCCTAAGCCCTAACCCTACACCCTAAACCCTCCCTCCCAAACCCCAAACCCTAAACCCCAAACCCTAAACCGACTTCCCAGGCTTTGCTCTAACATTCTGGCGCCCTTCCGATGCCACCTGCATCCGAACGGTATGCAGACTGTGCAGGCCTCCAAGAAGTACCGGAATATATAAACCCCTTAGAATCCCACTTGAGTTATATTATTGTTATGTTATAGTTATATTATTGTTATCTGATAGTTATCTGATCGTTCCAGTATAGTTATATTTTGACCTATTCAACGTCCCCATTTTTCTCAAATGGGCCTGCAGTGTTGGCCCTTTAGGCCTTGGGTCATGTGGCTCATGTTTAGGTTTGCGGCTTTGGGGCCATGTAAAGCTACAGGGACGGAGTGGAGCTCATCACAAGTCCAGTGCACAAAGCTCTTGGGGTAAGAATTGGCCTTAACCCTAAACCCCTAAACCCTAAACTCTAAACCCTAAAGGGCCGGCTTGAGTCTCAGATGGGTGAGGGTTAGGACGGTTAGGATCCGTCCTGCCTTCGGGGTAGGGCTCGGGTAGAAGAATCACAGCAGCCCCCAAGTTACTCGTAGAGGTGTATGTTGTATGTATATGTATATGTATATGCATATGCATATGCATATGCATATGCATATGTATGTAGGTATACAGAGAATATGTGTAGGCATACGTTTTATGTAGATGTACATGTGTATGCAAAAAGGTCACATCAGCAGCTTTGTGCATCATCATCCTTGCCATTATCACATCACAGCCTTGCCGTTCAAATCATTGCTATGAACCCTAAAGTTTAGGGTTTAGGGGTTTAGGGGTTTAGGGGTTTAGGGGTTTAGGGGTTTAGGGGTTTAGGGTTTAGGGCCTAAACCCTAAACCCCTAAACCCTAAACCCTAATGTTAGACCCGCTTTAGTAGGGGCCTCCCCTTTAAAGTCAATTTGGCCAAATTATTCAGGACCCCCTGACTGTTTGCGGGGTCTCCTTTAAAGTCAAACCGTCCGGGCGCCGTAAGAAAATTCCACGTGGCGCGCCTTTAAAAAGATAACCGGGCATCGCTGCCCCTTTTTAAACCTATCTAAACTCCTCCCTATTGAAATCATATAAGCCCCCAGGGCCGTGTAATCAGGCTCCCATCCACGCCTCAACTGTTCGGGGGGGGGGGGGGGCCAACACACTAAAGAGGGTCCAACATGAAACCCTATAGGGAGAAAGGGGCGAGGATTAGCCGTGTGGTGAAGGGCCTTGGGTGGCACTGCAGGACTACCCCGGCGCCTTTTGCCACTTGCATGTGTTCAGGAGCTTGATGGAGGGCAGTGCTCGGGTTTAGGGTTTAGGGTTTGGGGTTTAGGGTTTAGGTATTGGGGTTTAGATTTCTGCATTCCTTTTTTGGCCTGTGCTTTCACTTCAACGGCGTACACCGCGCGGACAACCTGCTGCATCTTTTCAGTGCATATGGGTATGTATTCCTTGTCCCCAGGGGTGCCTTGTGCATGAACTCAGTGTGCGGAGCAAAGCCTTGAGCCGAACGGCCCTGCGCAAGAAACTCCCAGATCACACCCGCCCGCAGAGCACCCCTTATACACCCCTCAGAACCGGAGCCCCACCCTGAAATAGCCTAGCAGCTATCTCCAGGGCTATTCCCCGAAACCCGCCGCGGAGGCCCCGAAGCCGACCTCCCAGCACTCCCCCTGAGCAAAGCTGCGGTCATTCCTGAACACGTCCCCTTCGAAGGAACTCTAAGCCCAAAGTCTGCTGTGGGTAAACGAGAAAAAGCTTCGGAGGCAAGAGCCCTCGTATGAAGTAGGGTAGGTATTTCTTGTACCCCCAAAAGGACACCAGGTATATACACTCACCAATATTAAAAGGAAACATAATGCCTGCTTCATATCCCAAACCCCCGCCCGAGTTGGCCCAGGTAGCGGGGAAGGCGCACACTCTTGGATGGTGATCGTTGGGCTTGCCACGTGCACCATGCCCGTTGGATTCTTCTCGGTGTGCCTCGCCGAACTGAAGTCACTGTCAAGTCAGGAAAAGTATTCCTGAGTCGCCGTAGGGTTTAGTGTTAGGGTTAGGGTTTAGGGTTTAGGGATTCGGGTTTAGGGTTTAGAGTTTAGGGTTTAGCGCCTGACTCGAAAAAACGAGAAAGCCATGAGTCAGAAACGCCTTGGACCCAAGTCGAAAACAGAAAA